AACTACAATCCCCTCTTTCCAGGGCTCGTGGAGAGAAGATGCTATTTTTAGAGGCGTTACGTTACAGCAAAGGGTATTCCCTACGATATTATTTCAAGTCTGAAGCCAATGGGATTTTTTTTTTTTAATCAAGAACAATAGTAATAGTTGGGGGTTTTAAGGTTTTACTGGGTTTTTCGTAGGTCTCACAGCACTTGATAAAGGTGATACAAGGTGATCTTATACCCCCAGACACTGGAACAACAAGAGATGCAAGCTCCCAACAACTGTGCTAAGCATGTAAGTTATAACATAAGCAAAGCCTACGGTTTGGCTTCCTTAACAGTTCAGGCGGCCTGGTAGGATAACTAGTGGTAAACCTACTTGCTCAGACCCATTTTGCAGCTGTTTAGCAGCAAGGAATGAAGAGCTGTCGGACACAAACAGCTCATCTAACTGATACACAAACTCAGAGAAAAGAGCTGGGGCAGAAGTTTTGGGGCAACGCAGTAACGAGCAGGAAATTAGTTACCCACACGGCTGGCACTGATGCTCCGCTCGATGAATTTGGTTTTAGTGTAACTATTCTAGAATCTAAATTAAACCCTTTAACCTTGTCCATCTAAAATGAGCTGCAGCAGCAGCTTCAAAACCAGAGGATGGAAGCGGCTCCCTCGCTAGCACCACGAGCGAGAAAAGGACGACACGGACCTGGTGCCACTTGTACCGCCACCCCGACACCAGAGAGCACGCGGCTGCTTCCTCCTGATGGTACCCGCTAGTAACAGCCCTAAAAACCAACCTCCTCCAAACAACTACCTACAGACTGTGCCGAGTGTCAGGCTGGGATAGCTTGCTATGGATTTTGGAAAGGCTCATTAGGTTAATAACTCCCACATGCTTTTCCGTGCTTTATCTGCAACACCTAGCATTCCTCAAGCTGAGTGCTTTCCATTCAAAAGGTTTAAAGTCCTTTCAGAATTCGCTGTTTTCAAGAGTAATACCCTAACAAGTTGCATCCTAAGTTCTACAACAGATTGTCTGAAGTTTGACTCGTTGTACACATACAAGCACCACAACGTCTCATGCAGACTGAGAGAGGTGTTGGCCTGTCTGACCTTCTTAGAGCGTGTATTTCTCAGCACAGACACTGCATTTTACCATGACACTGTGCTTTTGCACCTGGATGCGGCCTTATCTCCCCAAACGTAACCGCAGCGGACAGTCTGTGGCATCTGTGTTCATTTCTCACACTGCATAACCCTGTGTCACGTGGCGTTCCTATGTAACAGCGAGGTTCTGGGGTGGTTATAAACCTGTTCGACCAAACATTCTTCCATAAACAAATTAATTCAACCTTCATCAAGGATAGTTTCACAGCCAAGATGTTCAGACGCATTTTGAAATGGAGTTTTCAGTGCAATTTTACGTCTTGCAGAATTCGAGTCCTGCACCATGTGCAGAACAGCACTATCCAACCAGCTCCGTTCGTCAGGAGAGGCAGGAACAACTGCTGAAACCCCGCAGCGAGTTTAAGCTCCTTCAATGAAATATCACAACGCATATGCAAAGCAGCCGACAAATATCCTCCAGTGAAGATGAAGAGAAGATGGAAGAGAAAAATATTTGCTTGCGCTCACTTAAAAAACTCTATCTTATTACTATTCATTTGCAGCCCAGAACAGGGAAGTTGAAGCTCTGTGCAGTTCTGAGGTACTTCTACACTACGCAAATTAGGACTTTGCTTATCTTAGCAGCAAAGCTTGGAAATGAGCCCGTTTAACTTACAAATCAGAAGCCCACAAAAAGTTGAAGAAAACCTTGGGAAAATAAAATAAATAGCCATGACAATATTTTAAATGCTTTGAGCTGAAGCAGAACAAGTGACATACGAACAACTCATTCTCATTTGGGGGTAAATAAAACCTGTGCTGTTCATTTGTCACCAAACTGAACTCCCCTAAATTCATGAATTATGATAAAGACCAGGAAGGAACCACGTGCACATACCTGGGGGGTTCATTTACAACGGTGCTGAAACGGCAGCGTACACGCTGCAACACATGATACGCGGGAAGGGAAGGATGCTATTTATTACACACTTTCTTTTCAGTAAGGTACGATGTGAGTCTAAAACTGACACGGACCCTGTCAGAACAACATCACCTTTGCTACAGAAGGTGAGACAAAACCAAACCTTCAAATAAAAAAGCAGACATATAAGCAACCGTATTTTGTAAAGAAAGCTGAAAACAGCACATTTTTTTTTCCCAGGGTGTGAGCTTTCCCTGCAGTTTCTAAGGTTCAGGATAGTAAAAACTGATACAAGAAACAATATTTAAATGCTTTAAGGTAGCAACTTGCCCTAGAAAGTCGCACATTCGAAATCTCCTCTTCTACATTATATCCCTATCCATGCTGTCAGTCACTTGTAGCTTAACTTCCAATTTTGTCACACTAACTTTACTTTAAAAGCCTGGTTACCGTAAATTTGTCACTTCAAATAATGAAAAATAAGTTTACAAAACACCAGACAAAACAACCTTTCTAAATGCCTTCCTTTGGTTTTCATGTTCTTGGAGTGGGCAAGAAATTAAACAGAATATTGAATTTAAAATCTTCCCACTAAACTACAAGAACAGCCCACTGTGCAATTAAAAACCACAAACTGTGACTTCCTAAATCTTGATCTGATTTATCAGTGTGCTGACTAAACGGTGAATGTTTACTGGCAGTGAAAACTGTCCAGTTTCGTGTCAAGCTTTCACTTCAAAAATCGTGACGGATTAGCAAGATCACTATTTTCCCTACGTGTCACTGCTCTAAGAGGTGGGAGAATAAAACATATCGAAATAGATGGTTCAAAAAGAACCAGACTATCAGTGTGCCTTTTAACAAACATTCACTATTACAGATTTGGAGCTGTTTCTTCCCCAGTGTGGAGCCAAGTTAAACTTTACCCTCTAACCTAGTTTTGCACAGCGAAGGGACTCCGACATTTCCACAGCTGCCTCTTAAATTACCTGCCAAGGTACCCGTGTCACAGATGTAGTGCCAACG